TGCTCATCCCACCTCCAGCAAACCCCACAATTCTCCTCAACCTGGCCCTCCTGGCCTTTCTCTATCCTCATAGATGAGTGCTCAGACCTCCTAAGACTACCCATGCAACTCAGCCCCCCTGGCTCAGGTCTCACACTGATGAGGTAGAGAAAACTACCAAGAGTTGCCTCAGGAATGAAACTGCAGAGTCTAAGCCAGGTTTGTGGCCTAGGTGGTAGCCCGAGAACCAGACTTTTCACTTGTGAAGGATCCAGGCCACCACTGAAACGTGGGCCAACAGTGGTTCAGCTGGCTGACTGTGTGGCCAAGGAATTGGATTACCCCGAGCCCTGTGTGGCTCTTCTTCCTCATTCCCCTCATTAGCTCCTTGTCTGTTCCTGCCTCACCACCCACAGGCCTGGTGTCCTCCCCAGGCAATCTGCTCACCCACTTGTTGCCATGGTGACTCTGGTTGGGGGTGTAGGGACTGAGGAGGGTCGTCTAATTAAGGAGAAAGGCCACACTCCCACTGTCAGGCCACCCCTCTCCCCTCCTCCGTTTCCCCTCCCTCATTCTCTCCCTCCTTCTAGGAGCAGACAAGGGGAGTGCCCAATTACCATCTCCTGTTACTGGGAGGAGGAGGAAAGGATCACCACTCAGGCTTCCTCACCTAGGAGCAGAAACATTGAACTGGAAGACCCCACAGAGATCTTACAGGGGCCTCTGAGCCCCAGTCCCACCAGCAGTGGAGTGGTGGTGATTCTGTATGGTTTGGGGTGAGGGTGAGGTAGACTCTAGGTCCAGATTGCAGAGATGGGACAGAGGCTATGGACAGAGACACAAATCTTGGCACTTGGGGCCAAAAATATGGAGAGGGTACTACAAGGTTCTGTTTCCCTTCCCTCTTGTGATTTCACTTTCTTTCATGTCTTACTTCTGTTTCTTTCTCCTACTTTTTTCTTCTCTCTTACTTTTTTATTTTTTTACCCCGGCTTTCTTAAAATTCCCTTCTTTTCCCCTTATTTCTTCTTGTCCACCACCTGTTCACTCCTTCCCCTTTCTTCCTCTCTCTTACTCCTCCTCTCTGTAGCCTTCTCTTACCTGCATCTTTCCACTCTTATGCTCCCCACTCACTCCATGTTAGTCAGCATTCCATCATTGTGACAAAATGCCTGAAATAATAGACTTATAAGGAAGAAATATTTATTTTAGCTTATAGTTTCAGAGGTTTTGGTTCATAGTCATGGACCAAAAGCACTCTTTCTTTAGGCCCTGTGCTTTGGGCCTGTGAGGTACAGTTCATCATGGTAGAAGTGCATGGTTCATCTCATGGTGGCATAGAAGCAGAGAGAGAGGAAAGAGTGGGCAGATTTCTAATATCCCCTTCAAGGGCACACCTCCAATGACCTAAGGTCCTCCCACCAGGCCCCACCTCCTAAAGGTTCCACTACCCAGTAGCACCACAGGCTGGTGACCAAACCTTTAACACATGAGCCCTTGTGGGACACTCTAGATCCAACTATAGCTCTTATCTCCCTACTCTTTCTTACTCTTCTCTTTTCCCACCTTCACCCGACTCCATTCTCTTACCCCTTCCACCTTTTACCACTTATTCCCCTGCTCTTTCTCCCCAGCCTTGCTTTTCCTTACCCCCATGATCACCACCATTGCTTACCCTCCAAACCCCCCACTTTTCTTACTCTCTCTTTCTTATACTCTCCTCTCTTTAAACTCCTTACTCTGCTGCCACCCTCTCTTACCCTTTAAGTTCTCTTTTACTGTCTTCTTTTACCACTCTAGCACTTTTTTACCTAGCCCCTTACTTTCACCTGTTCTTTTTCACTTTCCTTGCATTCCTTTCTCATTCCTTTGCACATACCTTTTATCCTCATAATTACATTTTTTTGGAATTTACATAAATGAAATTGAAGACAATGCATAAGAGATGTGTGTACAAAAATATTCAATGGAGCATCATTTAGCATAGTAACTAGTGACCATGTGGAAACAAATGTCCATGAGCAAGGGACTGGTACCCATTCCATTCCACTCACATAAAACTTTCTCTGTCCTCTTAGTGCATCTTGTATTCACTCACTCCTGTGCCTTTGCTTAAGCCGTTGCCTCATCCTGGAATGTCCTTTTGCCTCATCTCTACCCATCCTATCCATGAAGTCCAAGCTCAACTCTTATTCCCTTACTGGAATCTTTCTCAACTTGTCTACTTGCTTCACTCCAACAATCCCATAGTTTGACTTCTCCTGTACTTTAGGTCATATACCACAGATTCAAGTTAGATTTATCTATCTGTGAAACTGGAATGTCTGTGAAAGTAGGAACCAGTTGTCATTTTCTCATCCTGTTCACTCAGTCAATGGATATTTTATGTATATTGTGCTGAGTTCACGATGGTTAATAAGACAAACTCATGTTTGCCTTCATGTAACTCATGTTAGTAGGGTTGATAGTGAAACAAAACAAGAATGCAGACAAAGCAATAATTGTGGTGAAGAAACAAGTAAGGAAAGGATAGAATAATGAGGACATCATCCTCTGCTGAGAGTGGTCAGCCTACTGCAAAGACCCTTTCTGAGGAACCGACATTTAAACTGAGACCTGGAAGATCAGATGAAAAGGACCCATCTATGCCAAAAGTGGGGGAAAGAACATTCTAGTCCAAGAAAACAGCATTTGCCAAGGCTCTAAGCTAGGAAGAAGTAGGGAACATTCAATCAAAAGAAAGAAAACCCCTGTTTGTGGAGTATGATGAGCTTGATGGGAGAGAAGAAAATGAAAAATGAGGTTGGAGAGAGACAGGGACAAAGTATGTAGAAGTTTGAAGTCTGTTCAGAAGTTTGAGCTTTAGTCTAAATGTATTGAAGGGTTTGAAGCAAAGGAGTAACACATCCAATTACAGTTTAAGACCTCTCTTATTGCTGGGTGAACAGTGAATTGGAAAGAGCAAGAGTGGAGGTGGAGAGGCCAGATAGGAGACTGCCTTTCAGATAAGAAATGATGGTGTCCTATACAGAGCTGTGGCCATGGAGCTAGAATTGACATGGCTTTCAGAGGGACTGGATGGGGGGTGCAGGGAAAAAGAGGAATGGAAGCTGACACTTAGGTATCATAGCACTTGCTGAGCTGGTCAAGATTTGTGTACTTGGAATTAAAAAAAAAAAGTAAGTACTGCATTTTAAATTTGAGATGCCTATGAGATACCAAAGTCCCAAGCAATGCTTTGTTCCTGATTTGCATCACAACTCCCTGCCATCCCTGCCCCTGCTTTGGTTAAGGCCAATGTGAGATATTATTGCCAAAGCCCATGTTTGCAGTGGAGTCATTTGTAATTTAGTGAAAATGTTTAAAATAAGTGTAAGAAACTGTGACCAAGTGTTTCCAAGACCATGTTGCTCAGTATGGTTGAAAGGACTCCTGCTATAGGATGACCTGGATCTTTGTTCAAAAATTCAGATCCTTGAGCTCATGTCAGTCTTCTTGAAACTGAATTGGGAGGAGGCATCTGCATATTTAACAAGTGCCCCTGGGGATTCTGAGGCACACTGAAGTCTGAGAACCATTGCTATGAGGAGCAACAGTGAACCTAGAAAGTGCTGCTGAAGATACCCAGGCTGGGTATGGGAAGGACTCAGATTCCATGTGTGAGCACCCCCCGAACATCCTGTTAAAAACAGATGCTGACCTAGCAGAGCAGGTGAGGATCTAAGATTCTGCATTTCTTACCAGCTCCTCAGTGATAGTGATGCTAATGATCCAGGTCCACAGCAAGGGTCTAGATCAGTGATTTTCAGTACAGCAGTTCTTGTGAAGCATTATAAGCTAAAAAGCAAGGAAATTACATAATCCCATTGCCACTTGAGGCCTGTTTTCCTCTTGTGCAGACAGTGCATTGGAAAGAACAAGAATGTAGGTGGGGAGGCCAGATAACCGATTGTCACCTAGGTGAGAGGTGATGATGGCATACACAAAGTTGTAGCCATGGAACTCCCCAGGGAGCATTTGCCAATGGCTGGAGACATTTTTTGGTTGTCATAATAGGGAAAGGGAGGGAGAATGCTGCTAGCATCTAGTGGGTAGAGGGGCTAGGGATGCTGTTCAGTATCCTACATTGCATACACAGCACAACCTCCACAACAGTTATCTGGCCCAAAATGTCAGTAGTGTTGCTGTTGAGGACCCCTTGGCTTAATGAGGGCCAAAGAGTTTTGAGCAGGGGACTTTTCTAGCTAGGACTTGCTGCCTAGTAATGGTGGGCTAGATGAGGGACAGAAAGTATGCCCATGAAGTGAAACTTCAAAAAAAATTTCAAAAGAAGTGTAGCAGTATCTGTGATTTATGCTGTGTACCAAGGCTGAAGCCAACAGGACATAGCATGGATTGAGTAGAGCTCAAAGGCACGTGTGCTGCTTGGTAAGACAGATTCCTGTTTTTATAATAAAAAAAAAACTCACATTTGTATTGACCTTTGGAGCTTAAAAACATTTTCATATATGCCATATTATTTGATTCACACCATACCCTAATGAGGTAGAACAAGGATTATTTTCCCCATCCCTTTCTTGAATTTAGATACTCGACACCATCAGCCAAGAAAATGTTTGCCAAATGGAATAGAACTGAAATTTGCCTCATTATATATAGGCAACCTTGTACAAGTCAAGACACTTATTTGAACCAAGTATAAAATGATAGGGTCGGATAGGATGATTGGTAAGATTCCTTCCACTCTGACAGGAGTAATTTTTATTTCTGCCAGCAAACAGATTCTAAGTCTTGGATAACTGTAGATTGGGAAATTTGGGTGCCCTGGCTCTATGAGATGGGAGATCTTATGGTAGGATATAATGGCCATGACCCAAACCCTTCTTCCTCTCTATCTCTGAAGTGCTGGGGTTAGGTTGTCAAGGCTCCTTTGAGAGATCACATGTTGGCCTTCCCCATTCCTCTACTCTGAGGTGGGAAGGGGCTGGTGCATGGTCTGATGCTCTTTCCTCTCCCCACAGGCTGTCTACAAGGCCTGGCTGTGTTCAGAATACTTCAGCGTGACCCAGCAGGAATGCCAGCGCTGGGTGCCCTGCAAGCAATACTGCCTGGAGGTGCAGACCCGGTGCCCCTTTATCCTCCCCGACAATGAGGAAATGGTGTACGGAGGGCTCCCTGGCTTTATCTGTACAGGTAAAGGCAGGGCACTGGGGGAAGAGGGAGGAGGCTGGGGGCCCAAGGCAGACACTATGCACGTCAAGAGTGGAAGCAGAGAGGACAACAGGAGAATCAGGCTAGAAAAGCCCCAATGGTTGGAGGAGTGGGCAACAAGGTTCCCAGGCTGAGATACAATCGAATGAATAGGGGAAAAAAAGAGAGACCAGAGTAGCCATCTCTACCCAGAATATATCCAGCCAAGGATTCATCTCAGAGAAACTGGGTGGGGTCCCTGGGAAAGAAGGGCTTGGAAACGGAAGGTGCTGAGGGCCAAAGAGGAAGAAGTCTTGGCTAGGACTACCTAAGAAGTCCTGGCTTAGAAAACATCCTCTCCAGGTAAGGCAGAGAGACATCAGCCCCCCCTGAGCATCCCACCATGCCTTCCTTATCCATTGGCAGGGTTGCTGGACACTTCACCAAAGCGGCCGGAAACCAAGTGCTGTGACGTGCAGTGGGTCTCCTGTGAGTCGGAGAAGAAGAAGTTCAAGGAGTCTGAGGCCCCCAAAACCCACCACCAGCAATTCCACCACTCCTATTTCCACCACTACCACCAACAGTATCACCACTACCACCCCCGCCACGATCCCCCAGGCCGCGTTAGCCACAAGCCCTCCCTGCTGCCCGTCTCTGGGGGATCCCGCCTCAGCCCCAGCAGGATCCGGCTCTGTGTCCTTGTTCTCATGCTCCTCCATACCATGGTGTCCTTCTCCAGCAATCAGGGTGGTGGAGTACTGGGGCTGGAGACACTGCCTGCCCTAGAGGAGGGCCTGACACGGGAAGAGTGAAAGCAGGGAGGGAGGACAGACCTCCATCACATACTGACAGCAGCTCTAGCTCCCCCACTGGGGGGGAGGGAGCTCCTCCCATGGGAGGTATAGAACCAGGTGGGGGGCGGGGGGGAAATGGGGGACCACACATCCCCCCAACCTCCCCCCACCCCAAAAGCAGCTCCAACAGAATGGCCAGAGGGCCCCAGGGAGCTGCAAATCTCATCTGGGAGAAAAAGATAGGAGCAGCAGGTGCCCCCTCCCAAGCCCCATCTGTGAGGCTTAGCAAAAAATGGGGGGGAATAGGGGCCAGAATTGGCCACCCCTGCTGAGAGCCCTGACCCCAGGGAAGGAGGCTGCTCACCCAGCCTTGGCCCTGCAGGGAATGTTGGGGGGCACAGAGGGGAAAAGGTCTTTTCCCCCCCTCCACATTCCTTTTGTTGCCAAGATCCTTAATTCCCTCCTGCCCATATCCCTACAGGCGACGGCAGACAGTGCATTGGCCCTCCTGCCACTACAGTGCACCTCGCCCCACATGGGGCCACCACAGGTGAAATACCAGGCTGGGACATGAGGTGCACACAGTTGCAGCTAGGTTGGGGCCCCAGTTAAGCTGTGCCCCACCACCCTAGGCAATGAGGGGTAGGAATGGGGTATGGAATAAGTGGTAAAAGAGAATGAAGATAGGGAAGCAGGAGAGGAGAGGAGAGACACAGAGGGCCTAGAGAGATGGCCAAATGGGCTACTGCCATGTGGCTTTGGGGAGGTGAGTGATTAATGACAAGGCAGATACAGAACTGATCCCCAAATCAGAGAGAATTGCAGAAGGAGCCCTCTGAAGAAAGAGCATAGGAACTGAGTTGTTGGGCCAAAAATCAGAAGGCTGAGGGCATGTGGTAGGACTGCCGCTGTCTGAAGGGCCATATCTTACAGAAGGTGCACATACTCCCAAGGGCCACTCTTGCCCTGGAGATCTTGGCCTTAAGGCCAAAGACCTTTCATTTCCGATCTCCACGGGGAGGAGGGACTTGAACCCAAGTGGGTCAGGCCTGGCCTGGGTCCTCATACTCCCCCATCCTGTCCTAGCCCAGGCCTCCATGAAGGAGAACCTGGAGGCCTTGCCCCAGAACTCTCCAGAGATGAGCCTTCCCTGTCCCCACCCTGTCCCCTTCCCCAGCCTACCAAAGAGTATTCATCCCTTCCCATCCCTGCCCCCAAGGGTTATTATCCCAATTGTGGAACAACCAAACTCCTCCTCACCCTATAGTGGGTCCCTTACTCCAGTCACCCCTGTCCCTTGCTGGAGAAAGTCCAGAGTAGGGGAAGAAGACCTTTTGACTAAAGATAATGTGCTGTTTTCCCTTGGCTATAAGACTTGAATGTTTAGTCAGGCTAGAGGGTTGAATGAGAAAAGAGATATTGGGTTCCCTGTGGGCGCTATTAGCCTTATATTGGTCAGCTGAGAGGGGAGGCTATATTGCCTAGGGCATCTCAAAGCCAGTCAAAGCTGACAAAAGCCAGAGCCAGAACTCTGGGCCAGGCCAGGGCCTTCCAGTGCCAGAAAAGCCTGCATCGTATGATGTGAGGCTAGTGAGTGGAGGAGAGGGGTAGCCCTGGAGCTGCAGCAGAAGAAGCTGCAGCCAAGACGATGGGGTATAGAGGGAGAGTTGAACTTTGTTGGCTTAGGGATGAATGGAAGGCCTCCCTACTAGAGAAGGAATCATTCAGGGGAGCCTGAGAAATCCTTCCCTGACAGTTTTCTCATTTCTCACAGCCCGTTCCCCCTTGCCCCATGCCCTACCCACACACATCCCTTTTTGGCCCTCAGCACTTTGGGCCTGGCCACATACCCCATCCCTACAGTGCTCTTTTCAGCTGGGGAGGGGAAGAGGTGCTGGCATCTTTCCAGACGTGCTTATGTATAAGTGAAGGGGCAGGTGCTTGGGCTCCAGAGAGACCCCAGGTACTGCCTTCTAACACCTGCATCCTCAGGAGGGGAAACGGGACTGGGCAGTAAAGGGGGCCATATGGCCCCAGGGAATGGACCCTTGGAGACTCCCATCCTCTCTTTCCCCTCACCAAGTGCCCAGGAGACCCCTGGCTCAGACCAGCCCAAGGCCTTGCCCAGTGGCAGGGGAAAGGGGCACCACGCTCCACCTCAAAGTCATTTGACTGTCCCCATTCACTCCACCAACCCAATCTTCCACCACCTCTTGGGCTGCCCCTGCTGTCTATCACAGGCAGTAGAGCTGGGCAGCTTTCTTATGCCATTTTCTACACTGTGCTTCATCAGTAGGACTTTCTTGCACTAGTTCCTATGACTGAGTCTCCAAGCTGGTTTCCTAGTAGTCCCTCCTCCCTTCCTCCCTTACCTGGCTATGATTCAGTTGTCTCTGCCCTTCCTTGTACCCCTGCCTCTGTGTTTCAGTGAGAGTCTCTGTATGTGTACTGCTTTCTGTTTTGTTGCATTGTGGGGCAGAGGCCTCTCTGCTCTTGTTTAACCCCATAAATAAATGGTAAGACTTGATGATAACCCTCCCTTCATGGCTTGTTCTATGGTGTCCTAGGAAACAGTGCAGGACCTGGGGAGGGGGCGGATCCAGAGGATGCTGACCCTGTGCCAGGTACCCCTCAGCTCAAATATCAGAAAAAATCATACACTCTGCAGTAGGCTTTTCTAGACAAGGAGTCATAAAGCCAACTACCTGCAGGGATCAGGCAGATAACTTTAAAGTATGAAGTGTGCTGATCTGGGGAAAAGTGCAGACTTGGGAGTGGTAAGAGCTGCAGGACATGCAGAGGGATAGCTCAAGCCCAGGGCTGTCGCATGGAAAAGTGGGCCCAGTGTTGCCAGATCTTAATCTTCAAGGAAAGCCAGGACTCAGGGTTTTATTGTGAAGCTCCCTAATTCCTGAATGTTGATGGCTCAAGTCTAAAAACCAGCTGACAAACCAACCTACCTCCATGTGGGCTAAACACCTGCAGGCCCTGCCTAGCCTGGGGATCACCAGTTCCCCATCTTTGTTGTAGCCTCTGATTCTGGTCACATCTCTCCACACCACTACACTAGGCCCAGCATCCCACCATATGAGTGAGGGATACTCAGGAAGAACTGCTGGAGGGGCAGCAGAAAGGGCCTTCCACCGCTATTCCTCTTTCACATAAATGGGGGATATGAAACCATGAGCGAGGGCATGCTTTGCCAAGAAAACATAAGTTCTCTAAGCTCCCCAAAAAGCAGCATAACATGAAGGCTAGGGCAGGTCTCTGGAGCCAGACTCTGACTTTAAAGCATAGTCACCATCATCTCCTACTTGTATGACTTTGGACAAGTTCCTTTACTTCTTTGATCCTTGGTGTCCTCATCTATCAAAAGGGTTATTGTGAGAATCAGATGATGTACATAAAGCACTTGGCACAACAGCTGGCACAAAAGAGCCACTCAAATGCCAATAATTATTATTATCATTAGTCATTCAATCTTCTCCTTCCTTCACCCCCATCTGAAACCGTCACCAAATTCTGTCATTTTCCCACTGTGTGTCAAATCCTTCCCCTCCTTTCCACCCTGACTCCCACTAAATCACTGCAGGCCTTCAGTATATTTTGCCTGGACTATGACAATAGCCTATTGTCTAACTGATCTCTTGTCCAATTACTCTGGCTCCAATCCATCCTCCACCTATCAAAGTGTCAGACACTTTAGAGGCACTTCATAGATATTTTATGAAAGAACTCCCCCTGTGGTTGAGTTTCCTAAAGAACATACCAATCTTCCTATAGCAAACCTATTGCACTCAGCAAAAACACCAAACACACACACACACACACACACACACACACACACACACACAGCAAATCAGATGGCTCCACATTGCCTGTAGAATCATGTGGGAACTTCTAAGCATGACACTCAAGGCTGTTTATTTCCTAACCCTGTCCTACAAATCTGATCATCCACCATAGTCCCTCATGCACTCACCTCTCAGCCATTTCCCAACTGTTGACTGAATGAGCTCTGTACCTTCTCATCTCCTGCTCTTTGCTCAAATGGTTTCTTCTGACTGAAATGCCCTCACCTTAGCTCTGCCCATCACTGGCTTACCCAGTTTTCAAAGTCTAGCACAAAACCCTGCACTGCTCTGAAGAATTCCACAGCCTCCCTTCTCCCGAACTGGAAACAATCTCTCCTCTAATTTGATACTTTGAAAGTACTTAATCATGGTACTTCTGACATCCTTTGTGATTTCAACTTATTAATTTATTCAAAATATACCTATTGAGCAACTACAATATGTCAAGCACTGTGCCAAGTGCTGGAATACAGCAAGGCACAGACACATTACAGATCCACAAGATAGCAGGAACTTATGCATCAGACAACCAAAATATATTCACACTAACATTGAAATAAAATATAAAATAATTATTTTAAAATAAAATATAAAATTATATAGAATTTATGTAAGTAATACATAAAAATTAAAATGTAGTCAAACATTTTTATTTCACTGCATGTCCATGACGAGGGGGCCAGGCTCTCTTCACCTTGGGTATGGGAAAGACATGAGGGATTGAAGGTTTCTCTACTACACACAAAAGCAGAGGGGACTACACATTCCACAGTATTAAGGGAGTAAAGGGCATAGTGGTTGTGACACAGAAGTAGCTCCACCAGCCTTACAGTCCCTTTGACTCTTGAGCTGAGCTAGTATCATCCCAAAGCTGCCTGTCTGAGCTCCCCCTCTAACCAGGCCTAGGCCCTGGCACTTTCCATACCTGGCACTTTCACTGTTCAACCTGCAGCCAGCCTCAGTCTCTTCCAGCCCAACATGAATGAAGAGGACTGCAGTGGCTTACAGTCCTGGTAGTGCCTCAGTATCACCTGGAAAGTTTTAGCTCAGGGTCCTACCAGCACAGACTCTGATTTAATTAGTCTGGGGAGAGGGTCCTAGCTTCGATATTGTTTAATGAAGTTCACAAGTAATTCTAGTATACAGGCAGGTTGGCAACCACAAGGTGAAGAGAAAGCTGGGGCTACATGAAGTCCTTGTTATTTCAGGATAAGTGGTGCTAGAAAAAAGGCCACTCACAACGAATCCACTTGAAATGGGGACAAATGTTTCACAGTAGAGTGAGGGAAAAGCTTTGCATAAGACTTTATCTTGGGAAATAAAATTGGAAATATATAAAATATTTTAGTTTCCATTTATAATGTTAAATAATTGCAAATATGGACTAATTCTTAGAATGAACAAAGAGTGAATCAAACATTGGAGGATAATGTAATTTTCCTAACCAAAGTGCATGAGAGCATAATATTGACTTTTGCAGCATAGTTGTAAGCAGAGTTTCTGTTTTGTTTTTCCAAAATTAGAGCACTTCTTCAATTATCCCAAGGACCTCTTGTAATCCTTTGAGAGTTGAATCATTCTCTTTGAAGTCTTGATCCTGTCATTACCCAGGTCAATTTTCTCTTCTGCAGTGGTAACTGGTCTGTCTTTGCCAAATCCCCATTTATCAAGGACTTTATATGACATTTGAGATGATCTCCAACATCACTTTCATTGACTTCATGAAATCTTGAATCTTTTTCAAGATTTGCAGTTTTACTCTGAGATTGATTTGCATTGTGCAAATCAATTAACAGGAGACAAAAAGAGACCTTGATTGTGGATAAACAGTATTGGGGTATTAAAGTGGGAGGAGGGGCTTATGTGAGACTCCAAATAGTGAATATGTTATGACAACTTTTGCTTTCTACTCAACTTCATAAAGTCCCTTTTTTCTTTTTGGGTGTTTAATCTTCTTATCTCTGAAAGAAAGGGAGAGGATTAGATGTTGTTATAAAGATTAAATAGTTAACTCAAATGAAGTAAATATATGCGAAGGCACTGAGCCCAATTGCTAGCACAGAAGAGCAACTCCGTAACTCCTGCTCTTCCTTCTCTCCCAAACATTTTTAGGTTATTTTAGGATACACTGAGGGACAAAGAAGGAAAAAGGTAGAAGTCCCAGAATTTATGTCCCAGGCTCAAGTTTCTGTTCTACTGCCATTACCTCCTCTCTTAGTCACTGTGGCATGTTGCTGAGATCTAGTCACTCAACACTGAACACCTAGGAGACTTAATGCTTAGGGATGTAGAATGGGAATACAAAAATCACTCAGACATGGCATCTGTCCCCAAGAAGTTCCTGGTTAGGTTGGGGAGAAAATAGGAAACAGAAATCATTCAAATTACCTGTAGAATATGGAATTTCTCCCACCCCCATTGTTACCACATAGTCCAAGACATCATCAACTCTCTTGGACCACTGCAATGGCCTCCCAGCTGTCCTTCCTGCTTCTAATCTTACCCTCTATCCAAAGGGATCTTTTAAAAATGTAAATCAGATCATCTGTTTCCCCTGCTAATATTCTCCCACAGTCTTGTATCTCAATCAGAATAAAATCCAAACTTACCCTGGCTCACAGAGTTTTACACAACCTGTGACTGCTCTTCCTCCCCAGTCTCACTCAATACATTTTCTCCACTCTTCTCCAGTCATCCTGCCCTATTTTTCTTCTGCTAAGGTAAGCTTATTCCTGTCTCAGGACCTTTGTACATGCTGTTTCTCAGCCCCAAATGTTCTTCCACCAGGTTTTCCCAAGACTAACTCTTCATTATCAGTTCTCAGCTCACACGTCACTTTCTCACAAAGACTTTTTTTAACGACTCTAGGTATAACATTGCCCTTCTTGCCCCAGACACTCTAGTGTGGCTCCCTGCTTTTTATATGAACTAGTACTTATAACTATTTGAAATGATCTTGTTTTTACATTGGATTTCCTGTTTATTGGTTTTCTCTCCATCTGAATGTAAGCTTTGAGCAAAGACCTCATCTGTCATTGTTAACGATCTCCCCAGTGCCTTAGTCAATGTCCACTGAATGAATGGATGTGGATGCTGAAGCGAGTGTTTCATTTGGGCAGGAGAAAGTGGTTTAGGAAGTGTAGAGTAGATGGCAAGAGATGAGCATGGAAGATTGTCAGAGGTCAAAACGTGGAAAGCGTTGAGGGTCAATCCAGGTAATCTAGGCTTTACAGGGTGACCCACTGGGAGCCATGGAAGATTGTTGAGCTTGAGTGGCATATTATCAGCTGATCTAGAGTAAGATTCATCTACTTCCATGTGCCAAATGGATGGGTGGGCAAATTGAACGGAGGATCTCGTTTAAGAGCCCACTAACCACTGTGTGCTCAGCCTTAGCAATTGCTTTCCTCTAGGCTCTCCATCACCGCCAGGTTCCACCCAGCTCCCAGACTCTTCAGGGGCCACAGAAGAGCCCTGACTGCCTTTCCCCGACACCGGCCGCTGGGTGGCGCTGTGGCTCCTCCTACCCGGTCTGGAGGCGCCAGGGAGGCGAAGGCGCCGCTGCTGAACCCGGCCTGGCGCGGGGGTCGGTGGGCGCTTGCCGAGCGGGCTCTTCCTCGTCGGCTCTATTCTCACACTTCATAGCTTCCCCCGCGTCGGGACCATTTCCTGTCCTCACCAGCA